TTCCCTTTCATGTTAAGGCTATATAACTCAGCTTAGTTCCAGTACAGTGAATGTGATTCACCTGCTTTTAGATAGAAAGGTTGCATTGCTGGTCTTGTTAAACTTGCCACATGCTAAGTCAGGAACTCCATTCCAGATTCTCACTTATTGTCAGCAGTTCTGTGTACCAAGATATTTTTGGACCTTACCATCAACTATAAAGTTCAGCAGTTTGAGTGATTTCTCAAACACAGCAAAAGAGCTGAGACAGTGTTCTTTAGGCATCTTCTGATCCTTTCTGCTTCCACTCTTCTCTGAATGACCAGCGCAACTCTCTTGATGACACCCTCCTGTATAAAGATGACTTTGAGCCCAGCCTGCAAAGTGGTTTTCAGAAACAGTTTGAGAGAATTGTTCTGAGGCAGGAGTCTGAACTAATTAAGATGTCATCCTCATGTCTCTGCAGAGCTTGCCACTTTTGAGTACTTCCAGTCAGATCTACTAGCTAATCCCTGTGGGTGCAACTACACGTTCGTTATTGTGTTGTAATTATGGCACATTGTCAGTGCCTGTAATAACAGGTACTAAGAATGCACTATAATTGGTGCTATTGTGCATTAGGGCAGATGAATGTTTTTTTTGGTGACACTACTGCGCATTAGACTAAATCTGCTATGCATTAGCGTATTAGCATGTGTTACCTCACCTCATCTAAATGGCTCTTTGTTTTAGTCTGACGTGTCTGAATCTTGGAGATTTAGGGACTGAATTCTAGATTGCCAGGCTATACGTAACTGTACATAAAGACTGTAGTACCTTGGTCTCTCTCCTTGCAGTAGGGTACTGAGCAAAAGGGAGGCAGTACCAGTGCCAAGATTCCTCCCCTTTCCAGCACGTCTTTCCTCTGCTAAGTCTTACTTCATCTACCAGTGATGTTGCTACCTTCCAGAATACACCTTTGGTCCCAAAGATGGAAAAAGAGTCTAGTTTGTCTGCAGTGCTTGTAGCTGCTTGCTTGTTGTGAGTGTGACAGCTCAGAAGTGCCAAGTTTAGGTATATATTGCTATGGAGGAGTTAAACTGCAGGGAATCATGCCTTCTCTGATCATGCCTTTCCTGTGAAGAAAGGGCTTGTGAGACAGCAGTCTATGGCCATTATCATTGTAAGTCATTTGTTTAATACATGGCAGCTACTTTACACTTACATGGGTGTAGAGTAAATCTTACTCTTTGACAATGTATGTTAGCTAAAGCAAATAGGAAGAAAGAGAATGTTTCTACAGAATGAGGTTTGTATTTTTCATGCATCTTACTAGTGGATAGGAGCTAAGACAACTTTGTAGGGCAGGGGCGGGGAATTTTTCAGGCGGAGGGCCACTTACTGAGTTTTGGCAAGCCATCGAGGGCCACATGACAGGCAGCCAGGGGCAGATAAATATTAATTTTCCAAATTTTTTAGGAGCTCCGCGGGCCGGATAGAATGGCTTGGCGGGCCACATCCGGCCCGCGGGCCGCATTTTGCCCACCCCTATTGTAGGTGCAGAAGTTGTATAACACCTGTAGTGTTTCATTTTAAAGAGGACATTTCCATAGTGGAGAACCCTTGTGTGAAATGTAGCACTATTTGACTACACTGAGAGTTTTCCCCAAGCTTGGTGTGGTTGAGCTGCTGTTGTCCTTTGGTGTGAAAGGCATCTTAATATTTGAGATAAGATGATTGTGTTGCTCTTGGTAACATCAGATGAGTTCAATAATGGAAAGTGGGAGTGTTGGCCCAGAGAAGGCCTATTTGGATGACTTCTATTCCTGGATGAATTAAGACAAGAGTGGCCAACCTATGGCACAGGTGTTACAAGTGGCAGGAGAAGCCTCTATGTGTTGCACATGGCAGATTGCAGGGAGGGTGGAGGGGCAGGCAGCACAGTATCATATAGGTCAGGGAACAGGATGGCATCAGATCAGCATGGGTAAGGAAAAGGGATTGGATTGGCACTTTCAAGAGGGTGTGGTGTGCCTGCCAGAAAGGTTTGTTTCCACTGAAGTAGAGAATATTACACATGATTCATTCAGCTCAGTATGTATAAACTGACAAATGAAATCCCTTTGTGGGAGTCCTTGTAGTTTTCACATTATCCTGCAAAAGTCCCTGAGCCTAAGCTAACCAATTCCATATTCCAAATTACAATGTCTCTAGGCCAGTGGTGCTCCACCTTTTCATCCAGCAGGCTAGACAGGCAGTGCCCAGTCCCCCGTGGGCCAGATCCAGCCTGTGGACGCAATCTGGTGACCTGGGCAGGTGCTCTGGGGCTCCAAGCTGCATGCAGGGGCAGCCTGGCCCTGATCCAGCCATGCCAGGGAACGGGGCTTGCCCAGCCCCAACCCAGCCTGGCTGTGCAGATGAAAGGGGTTGCGGTCTGGCTTCAATCCACCATGCAGAGTTTGGAATTTTAGCAGTGGGGAGGGGTAGAAGTGCTGCCACTGGTCCCCTGCCGTCAAATTTCCTGACCCCATTTGGCCCATGGGCCAGAGGCTGAGCACCCCTGCTCTAGCCAGTGGTAATGAAGAAGCCTATTCCATATTCCTTGGCAAAACAAATCTCTGTTTGGAGTCTGAGTGATATTTCAGGCACTACTTCTTTTAGGGCTAAATTGTATTCATGGATGCAGGTGAACCTTTGTGTGTAATTAAAAGGGATTTCATGTAAGTTTATTAGACTATATTTTAGCCATTTGTATCTTGTAAATTAAAAACTAAACTTTTTTTTTTGAAAAGATATATGTTCTATAGAATACTGGCAAGAGTTTTCAAACCTGGGGGCCTAACACTATATTCCTAAAAGTATATGTAAACACCCAAAGGAAAGTGGCTACATTTTCAATGATTTTGCACACCTGCAGTTCTCATTTTAATCAATGCAACCATTAAACTGGTGTGGTTCCCTGGATAACCAGGAGACTTGTGTCCTAAATGCAAACTATCTCATATTCCCTAGCCAACACAAAGAAATACAATATCATATACTCCATCCAAATAATTTGTGCTCTGCATTTGTGGATCTCATAAAACTGGTATGATCCTTGGGACTGCGCCTCCTTGTGTTTAGAGAATAGGTGACTAATTTATAGTATTTATAGAAACAGAAATGTAGGGGCATAGTGAGGAAGTGCAACTGCTGTTTCAGGCCCATGTATGACATTGTAATTGTATGTTTTTTTAATGAACAGAACAGAGTAGTTACACTTAGTAATGTTTGTTCACTAAAAGGGAAAAGGGGTGTTAAATCATTGTGTTGTTTGATGAATGGCTTGTACACTGAAGAATAAATTGAACAAACTGGCATAGAGCTCAGTGAACATGAAATCAGCTATTAGAAGAAAGCTTGTGAACAAATTCTGAGCCTGATATGCATCTTTTGATTAATGTCCTATCAATCATCCATAGTGGCTACCTTAGCTAAGTCGTGCTGTAATCATTCATGGTTGCTTACAGGAACACTGGCAGGGACTATAGGGCTGCAATAACTGAATATTATTACTGATTTCTCCCTAACTCTTGCTGTGAACAATTACTGTTTTCACTACATTTCTGCTTCCCTTTATTAAAAAGAATACAATGCAAAATGAAAAGAGAGTTCCTCAAAGACTGGTAAAATTCTCCCCGGGTATTCTTAATGATATTCTGGTCTAAATGGGCAAACTATTGTAATGTAGAGTTCTCACCAAGAATAATAGTAATGTAATCACATTGAAGCTGTCTCTTTATGGATTGTAGTCAAACAGACAAAATGTATAGTCAGATTAATGAACACTGAATATCTGTAGAATTATTACTTAAAATGGTTGAAATGATTTTAATTCTTTTTGTATCACAATATTTTCAGTTAATGTGCTTAGCAGTAACAGTAATTAAGACTCTAGACTTTAAATTTGCATTAAATCCACCTTTGACATTTCAGTAAACCTTGATTCTTGTAAGGTATTGCTCACACACTTAAAAAAAAAGCCAAAATGTTTTTACTTTGAAGGCTTCCATAAACCAATTTTAGATGTGAGATCTGTGAATACAGATATTTTTGTTGTGATTGCAAGTTTTTCATTCCAGATTGCAATGATTTCATTCCAGACTATTCATTTCCAAAGTATGGCACCCAGAATGGTTTGGCAATATCAACTAGTGAAGAGATCTCTTCAAACTACAATGTAATTTCCTCAAACTCACTGTAGTCTGAAAAACAGAGTAGAGTAATGAAGTGATGACAGATATTAGCATGCATAATGGGCTTTAATAGACATTTAATGTTGTGTAACTGGAAGAGGGAGAAATGCTTTCCCATTGGAATATTTCTACATTGAAACTCATTGATCACCAATTTCAGAGGGGAAAGGTTAATCCATCAGTTTCTGTAACCAAACGGCACTGATGGAAATTCTTTAGGTGACATTTTGGATGGACTGAGCTTTCCATCTTTACAAACAAATGAGTGATATGACAAGCGTGGTGTTCAAAACACATTTAACCAATTGATTTTCTCTCCTCTTGTAATAAGATCTAGAGACATATGAAAGAGTATAGCATGAACCAAGATTAAAGGAATTGTTTCATAGACGAGAACATACAGAACTACATTATCAATAAAAGTACTATAAAACATGTAGTCGCCCATTCTTTTTCTTTATATAAAGTTTGTTATTGCAATAAATAGCTGTTATTGAACTGCTTGCCTTTTATTTCAGGCCACTTTCAATGTATTCCTGGTAAATGGGAATCTTTTTTAAAAACGTTTAAAAATGTTGCTAGAGTGTGATTTTTCTTTTCACTTATAAATTCAACCTTGAACTGGAATTTTACACCTATGTTCATTATTTGTTTTGAGGGTGGAGGAACATATGATGGGAAGAGATTGTTTTATGTATACATTTGGTACATTTTAAAGTTTTTACCTGTACAGTTGCACACAGTGATGATCCTTCTCTTTCTCTCTCTCTTTTGCTTTTTTATTTCTGCTTTGCCCTCTAACTCCAGTCCTGCTTTGAGTTTCACATACCCTCCCACACCGGTTTCCCTTCAGCAAATGCATCAGCAAATTATAAGTCGCCAGCAAAGCTTAGGTTCAGCCTTTGGACACAGCCCTCCTCTCATCCATCCTGCTCCAACTTTTCCTACCCAGAGGCCTATCCCAGGCATTCCCAGTGTCCTGAACCCTGTCCAGGTCAGCTCTGGCCCTTCTGAATCCACACAGGTGAGAGAAAACAAAAGAAACTGTTGCAATTTGTTAATTTAAAAAAATCACATTGTCATATTAGCAATTAATCACCACAGTCAGCGAGAACCTTGGATAACAACTTTCTTGCGGCTATGGCATTTGCAATCCCTTATTATAAATCACAGGAGTGCATCCATGATTTCTGATTGGTAGAAAGCTTTCTATCCCTCATAAATATTTCAGTAAGCTGCAGTGGCTTCTCATTCCAAACTCTCTCTCCTGGATCAGACATCTTAATCCAGGTAGGGAGTGAGGGAGGAGGGAAAACATATACAAGAAACCCTAACATTTTAAAGGTGAACAACTGCTTGTCCCCAAATTGATTTAAAGATAATCTAATTGCTCAATTTACTGACCAATAAAATAAAATGGGGAGAGGGATTTGACTCTGCCTCATTGGTGTAAATAGAGAAAAATACCAATGATGTTTCAAGGTTTTTTACTGATCTATGCTGAATTTGACTCCAGGGGCTGGCTTTAGCATTGTTATCAGTGCAGTTATACTGGCTTAAAACGGGACTACTGCAGTAAAGAGTCAGGCCCAAAATTTGGATTCATTTCTATTCACGTCATTGTCATTGTTAATCAGCATTATTAAATCAGAGTAGAATTAGTTCCTTCTTGTGCTGGCAGCTGTATACCCTGGATATAGTTTCTGAAAATCAATTTGCTGTGACATGCCCCTGTGAAGACCCAGTGACTACAGTGGGCTCCACGCAGACTCAGATATGGACTCAGCAGATCCATTTGCCAACACTAATACATATTGACAGCATACACTATATAGCAGCCTGGGATAAAGGAGGTGAAATCTAGACTCCAGTGTTGTTAGTGGAAGTTTTGCCTGTGGTTTCTTATTAGTGTTGTTCTGTTCCTAAGTCACCACTGTAATTATCAGGAAAATGGTAGAGATTCCTTTTATGGAGATTAGATACAAAGTCTTTCTTATATGTAAATACATAGTCAGCTCATGTTGATTGTAACCAATACACAATAATTTCACATATCCAAATGGGAGTTGCCTTTTTTTAAATTCATAGTTGTGTGGAAAATCAACTTTTTCCTGCCCTTTCCCATCCCTATGAAAGCAGTGATAGTTTCTACAGTGAGCTGCACAGAATGGGTTCCTTTATATTTTCTCCTCTCTGATCCCAGTTTGAATGATGCAGCTTTCCTGCAACTTAATGCTGCATAACTGAAGGACAAAATAATAGTATATCCAATACAATTAACAGAATAGCTTCTCCAAATAAAGTTGCTTAGTAGATACTGCGTGTTTCTGGTTGGCATGACACATTTATTGCAGTTTGATTTTGTCTTTGGGGGGATGAAATGCCTACAGCAGAATAAACCCACAAGTGAGTCAGCAGTGAGCAGCACTGGGGATCCAATGCACAACAAGCGTTCGAAGATAAAACCAGATGAAGAGCTCCCCAGTCCAGGTGCAGGAAGCATGCAGGTACGGCATTCAGGTTTCTTTAAGCAGGCTTTCAGCTTCCTGCTAGACAGGAGGCACGTCTTATCGGTAGCACATATTTTAAGGCTTCTTACCCTTCATGGCATTTTGCCTAATGCACACCCAGGCTGCATCAATCCATAATGCCTGATCATAGAATTAAATGTAAGCAGTAACTTCTCTTCTGCTGTATGATTGAGCAGGGGGAGGAGATTTGCCTGTGTATGCCTTTAGCAGAGTTTGTAGTCTGTTTGCTGTATCATAATAAAAGATGAACCTAGGGCACTCAAGCCTCTATTTAGCACATGATTCATACTCAGTGGAGCATTTATGTTTGTGCTTAAGGTTAAGCACATGCTTAAGTCACATTGACTTGTGATGGCTTTATTGAATTTTCACCTCAGATTATGATTTTAATTTATTTTTTTACTGTTGCAACTCTACCAGCTTCATTAGAATAAATCCTGATGTATACTGAGGTAGGTGAGCTAAAACTCATATCCTCAGTCTTCTGAATACATCTGTAAAACAAAACAGCCCCCCTCCATTCCACTCCTGAAGAGAGGTTTGAAGTGAAAAATAGCATGACTTCATAATGTGAAACAAATGTTTAGAGGGACTCTTTACGTCTGACTCAACATGGGCAAATAACAGGCAGGAAAGAATGAGGATTATTTAAGAAATGAGGCTAAATAATAAAACAAAGGGAAAAAAAAACATACAATATGGATCTCTCAAATATCCTCAAATTAGCAGACTGATCTGGAAGTTTTGTATTCAAAGCCCTTCACTGACTTCAGAATAAAACATGTTTTAGGTAGTTGGTGACCTTGCTTACCTCTGCAACCATATCATTTGGGCCATATTCTGGTATATTTCTCCATGCTGAATAATATCTTACTCAATAATAGTGATTTTATTAGGGCTGTCTGTCTAAACAAGGCATTACTAAATGCACATAAAAGCATTAGAATCAGAACATTTATGATGTGATTTTACATTAATTTCATGTGACTCCTTTTCTTAAAAAAAGGGTTTGACCCCAGACTTCCTCATATTTATCCTCACTTATTCAAGTGACACACAACACCAGCAAATTCAAATTATTCTTCTGAACCTGATCTTCCTATCCCGTTTTTTTCCTGTTTCCCTATCAATTCATATCATACGACACTATTCAAAAATAGTATTATCAAAGGGAAGCATCTAGGTCTTAAAAAAAATATCCTGTTTCCTTGGTTAGTAAGCTAGGCCTGATTGGGGGATTCTCTGTTTTATCTGAATGAAAAGTAAAATAATCCATATTAAGCCTTTTCCCGCAGTACCTGTTGTTTAATACTAAAGTAATTCACCTTTCTTCCACCTCTTTATAAGGGTTTCCTCTCTCTTCTACTCATTTCTGTTATTCTTTTCCTTTTCAGGAACAGCCAGAAGGAATGACCTTAGTAAAGGAGGAAGGGGACAAGGATGAAAGCAAGCAGGAGCCCGAAGTGGTCTACGAGACAAACTGCCATTGGGAAGGTTGTTCACAAGAGTTTGACACACAGGAACAGCTAGTGCATGTAAGTTAATGGTATTCAGGAACTGGGTTTTAAAACTATGTGACCTTTTTCATGGGGGTCAGGTTCTCTGACCCTGTGGTGAGTCAAGTTTCTTAGCTAACAGCATTGCAAACTGGAGAGGGGTTTATGAGTTTCTGAGAATAAAGAAAACTCTGAGCCACAGTGCTTGACCTGTTCAGTCAGCTAAAGCTTAGTGTAAAATTCAATAAAGTCTTCAATAGAGAGTGTAATGGCTCTGATCCTGTAAGCCAGAAAACACTATTTGAGTTAGAGACTTTGATAGTTATTGAGTAATAGTAAGCTGGACATGAATTATTATTAACCTTTAGCCAAGTTTGATTTTTTTTCCCAAAAGGGACTGTAACAATAGAAAGGGGAGCAGGGGAAATTCTTCCCCTTCTCTAAGGATTTGTAGTTTATTTTATATATCAATTTACTCTTGTGTGTGAAGTAAGGTGGATTACTCGGTTGGATATGTGTAGGCTGTGTTACTGGCATCCTTTGAATTAAGGCAAACCTCTGAGTCCTGTTCATTGCAGTCAAGAAGTTAAGTCAGCATCCTCCCCCCACCCTTAAAGACAATTTCATGTTTACTACTTCATAGTATGGTTGGCTAAATTTTGTGTCCTACACCAAACAATTCCTCTTAGCAAGGACACCCTCTCCTGTTCCCAGGCAATGGCAACTGTGGTGACTGTGCCTCCTTAGTTAACCAACGTATTTAGACCAAAGGCTCCCATACCTTTTCTTATTGCATTCCCCCTTCCACATTTACCAGTTGCCCACGTACTCTTACCAGCGTACATTTTGTATTTGAATCCCTTAAATGCCAATTATTATTATAATGAAAATTAAATCTGCCATAACACAATTTCTCTTGTTTACCCCCCAGAGATGCATACCACAGTTTGGGAACCCCTGGTTTAAACAAATAATCTGACTGATTTGATTCTGAATCTTTTCAAGATATTCTGGTGTGCAGTGACTGTGCAAAGAGAGACAGATAGGGTGCTGATAGATGTGGAAAAAAAACTCTTTACCAAAAGCAGCAGCATGTTACTTCAATCTGGCTCTGCAGCATCTGTATAGATTGGGCACTTTAGCAGGGCTTTTTGGTGCTTTTATCTAAAGCTGATTCAATCAGCGATCAGATGAAAATGCCAAAAAAGCCCACTAAAGTGCCCGGTCTATACAGACATTGGGAAAGCTGAGTCTATCTAACACGATGCCTCTTCTGGGCATGTGCTGGGCTCAGCGCAGGGGCATGTGGAGTTTAAAGTGACATGTTGCTTTTTGGGTTCTTTTTCATGTCTGCCAGCATGTGCAGTCCTTAATAGATGAACAGAAAAGGGCATAAAAACATTGATGTTTCCTGAAAACCAGTGAACCTTAGAGAAGAGGCGTCAAACAAACGTATAACCCGTGTACCAGTTGGACCCAAGGAGCCTCTCTATCCAGCTCGCCAGGTTACCAAAGGGCACTGGAAGTTAGGCCCTTTGGCCCTGTAAAGCACTGCCATCAGTGGCAAGCTTGGCTTGTAGCCACCAGATCCCACACTCCTGCTGCTGGGCCCTTGCTGTCCCCACTGTGGCTGCCACTGGACCCTGCCCCGTCATTGTCCCCATTGCCAGGGGATTCCATGCCATTGTAATGGCCACTGCTACAGCTCTCATACCTTGGGTTGCATGTGGCCCGCAAAGAGCCAGCCCAGAGCCCCAGGTGAGTTTGACACTCCCCATTCTAGAGTGCCAAAGGCCAAATCCTCAGCTGGTATAAATTGATGCGGCTCATGTTGAATTCAGTGGAGTAATGCCAATTCACAGCAGCTGAAGATATGAGGGGTATGATGCTAGAAATTGTCCATCAAGAAGCAATGAATAAAAAATAACAGCATTCAGTGGAAAAGGTACTGCTGTCACAGGTGAGAACATGCGGAGTAATTTTAAAATAAATCTCTTTTAATTGTAGTGTATTTCTATTTTGTTACCCAAGTGTAACCTGATTTTTTATAGAGCATGTGAATAAGTTTTGAGCAGAGCTTCCCTGAATGAAGTGATATTTTTTATAAAGAGCAACCTTTGGAACAGAAGCCATAAAGACTTTGAAGCCTTTAGAAAAGTAAGCTTGACTCCTGCAACTGATTGAATGAAAACTGCTCCACCCACACCAGGTCCCCCAGTAACTTCAATCGGGTTCTGAAGCACTGCACAATCTGCATATTATGTGAATATTAATAAGTGCAAGCTTGAGGCATGAGGATGTCTGAAAAACATTCCAAATGATGACTAATCTTTTACACCAACACAATAGAAATAAAATACAAATACAAATTAAATAGGCCTCAGATAATGGAGAAGAAGAAAAAGGAAATTTTACATTTTCCAACATAAAATTTAATCGGACTCCTTTGCAGCTGTTGGCTAGTAGTTCATAGCAAATGTATTGCAGTTATAAATTAATTAAGTTGGCAGTACTCTGTGTCTTTTTAAAAATGGAGGAATTTATTGTTTTCTTGTTCCTATTATGATCTGTAGAGGGACTGATTTTGCTGGTAAGAGTTAGCAGCAAGAATGACATGGAAATAGCATATTACCTATATTTTAGAATGATGACAGCATCTGGAGTGGGACTTCAGAGCATTATAAAGGGAAATAATTCTCCATGACAAAGGCTTTATCCATGTATGTTTGTTTGAAGAACAGTAAAGCCCCCATTCTGAATGGGGACTCTCAAAACAAAGGAAATCCTCATGCTAACACCTGCCACTTTAAAGGAGTATAAATCAAACCATGGCCATGTCTGCACTACCTACAGCCAAAATAGGCAGCCCCGAGCCCGAGAGCAGGTCGGGACCAAACAACAGTTGCATACAGCTACAAACAGTATGCACAGACAGATTAAGTGGGCAGGGTTTGATTTCAGGGCAGTTCTCCATAGTGTGGTCAGAAATGTTATACACAGGATCTGTAAGAGCCAGCATGGTCCAATGAATGGGGCACTGGCCTGAGAATTATTTTCCTACTCTGGTATTGATCTGTAGTGTGTGACTTTGGGCAAGTGGCTTTCAACGAGATTTTCAGAGGTAATGAGTCACTTAAATTCCTCAGAAAGATGTTGCCTTCTCTCTCTGTGTATCCTCTCTCACAATTTGTGTGCTTGTGATTGTTGGCCCCTGGGAGGACACTGCCTCCTACTGAGTGTATAAGTAAGTGTACGTATAATGCCCAGCACTTTGGTCCTGATTTTATCTCACCAGACATTTCTGTACAAAAAGTAATAATTACCTGCAATTGGCAATTGGGCAGGCATCTCTGTGGGACAGATTCTCAAAAGAGTAAATTGCCTGGGCCTTTGAAAAATCTCCCCTGTACCTTTAATTTTTATTGGTGTTAATAAATACTATTGACTGGACCTGAGCAGATGTACAATGGTGTAGGTCCATGGACTTCAGTAGAGCTACACGAATTGGGTTTTTTACCCTGTGTAGTGTTTGCATGTGCTCACACACATGTGCATATAAGTGTATACACACAACTTCTGTAGGATGTGCATGTGCATATTGTGCAGAGAGAGTCGGTCCAATTCTGTGACACAGTTATGTTAATTATTATGTAATAGTTATGTTGCAGTAGCAGCTGCGAACCTAACCCAGTCAGGACTGGGAGCCTGTTATTCCAGATGCTGTATAAACTGTAGAAGAAGAAATCCTTTTATCAGCTTCAGTTTGTGATGGCCACAGGACTCACAGCTGATATAGACATGAGTGAGTTACATAGGTCTTCTCAAACAAGTGCAAACAAAACCTTTTTCTCACACCGCTTCATCATCTACTCTGTGTTTACTATACGTTTTACCAAAAACAAATGACTTCACAATTAACAATTGAAACTATTTTTAGTATCCTTTCACCTGTAAACCCAGGCTGCCCTAGCACCCTAAAGCAACTTCTGAAATGTCAGGATGGGCAAAGGGAGGAAAAATATAAAATTTTAGAATCTTCAAGAATGACCTAAATATGTTTTCCATGCATTATAATGAGGTTGACTATCACAGAATAGACCTAATTTAGAAGTGTTAAGTCCCAAGAGAAAGCTGAAAATCTCCCTTTTTCAACAGTGAGAGGCTCTGCAGGTTGGCAAGATTAGTCTGGACTATAAACCTGTGCCTGGCACAGGACTAAATATTATCCATGTGTACTACAGCCTAATGTTGGTTGGGAGGAACCTCTGATGTTTAAGAGATATACAAATATGTTTCTTTACCAAATCGTTAGGTTGCTAGAAGGCTTGGTCTATAAGATCCGTGGGAAATGGGTAGGAACAATTGCTGGTGATTCATTTTATCCTGTAGATGCCATCACCACGTATGTATGTGTATAGTACATATATATATACACCTGTGTTTTTCTGTGTAAATCTCTGATGCTGCTGTCTGGCCAGTATAGTTGGCTCCACTGTTGTTTGCTCCTGATTTACACTGAATTAAGGAATAGGAGAGCCAGACCTCTTCTATGTATATAGACATGCACATGTTTTATCTAGGTAGAAGTAGGTGATACACACGGAAAGGCAAATGTATGTTGCGTGGAAAGAAACACAGTGGATATATGAGACCGTTTCACAACACAAAACTAAATCTTGGGCACTTTAATCAGTATTTAATAGTGTTTTCCAGCAGCGCTTAGGCTTCATAGTATCCTGCTGACATTAGCATAAATTGTGGGTGCTCAGGGAAAGCAGGATTGGATAGCAACAAATGGTGTTTTTATACTGAATTTATAAACAGAGCTTTACTTGCTATGAATTAATAACTGAAAATGTACACAAAGGAATTGTTCCAGAACTCCCTTCCCTCCCAAAGGATATGACACTGTAATGATTTCAGTGGTGGTTCTTATTTTCAAGTGATATGTGCCACTTCGAACTCATGGTTAAATTTTCATGATACATACACCAAAAGGCAAGGTGTTAAACCATTCAGACGCTCTGCCTTATTTATAG